AAATTTGCAATAACTTTGCATTTTTACTCACCTAAAGCATACAATTTTCTACAACCTATACTTCATTTACCTGCTTCAAGCTCTTTAGCCAACTGAACTTCTTCTGTAGATTGTGAAATTTTTTTGAAGATGTTTTAAGTTGTATTAGTAGAAAAGCAGAGATTGACACTAATTATAAAGATTGTGCATTAATTATAGATGCAATGGCAATCAAAACATCAGTTCTAAATGATAAAAAGACAGGTCTTTTTATCATTTAGAAAAGACATTGGCTTTACAGATTATGAAAAAGATATTGTTGCAATTGAACCAGATACACCAGCTACAGAAGCATTGGTATTTATGCTGGTAGAATTACGAGGTCATTGGAAAACACCTATTGGCTATACTGTGTAGTAAAATGACAGCTGAAAACCTTTCATGTCTTATTAAAAAAGCATTAACAGTTTCTTCTGAGAAAAAAATTAATGTACGCAGCATTACATTTGATGGTGTAAATGTTAACTTTAATTCTGTTAAATCACTAGGATGTACATTTGGAAAAAGATTAGAAAAAATTAATGGAAGATTTACTTTTGAAGGCTATAATCACTACTTGTATGTAATCCCTGACCCAAGTCATATGCTAAAACTAGCTAGAAATGCATTATGTGATTTAGAGGTACTTAAGGATGGTGATTGAAAATACATTAAATGGAGTTATATATAAGCTTTATATGAAATACAAGAAGAGGAAGGATTGAAATTTGCAAATAAAATCTCAATAAAACATATTTATTTCCAGCGTTACAAAATGAATGTTAAGTTTGCTGCACAAACACTTAGTAGTTCAGTTGCATATGCAATTAAATTTCTGATGTTTTCCAAACATCCAAATTTTAAGCATGCTGAAGGAACTATAAATTTTATAAGGGTCATTGACAAATTATTTGATATGCTGAACTCTAAAAATCTTTTTTCAAAATCATATAAGAAAGCTCTTTTTTTAAATGATTATTCTTATTGGAATTCAACTTTTGATCAAATAATAAACTACTTATCAAAGTTAACAGATGCTAATGGTACTCCATTATTAAAACATTGGAGAAAAACTTTTGTATTAGAGTTAATTGTGGCTGAAAAAAGCCTTCAACACTTAGCCTATGAGCTTTTGACTTTAAATGTTCATCCTTTTAAATTTTGCCTAACATACAAATTTTCTCAAGATCATCTTGAGTTATTGTTCTCTTGTATTCGTGTAATGAATGGATTTAATAATAATCCAGATGTGATCCAACTTAAGTCATCTTTAAAAAGAATTCTTTGGCGGAATTCTACTGTAGGCTCAAAGCAAGCAAATTGTTTAACATTTGAGGATATTGCAAATGGCTCTATTTTTGCATTAAAGTGGAGTAAAAAATCTGCAATTTATTCAAATCCTGAAACAGATTTTTTAACTTCGATATTGATATTGTTACAATTCAAAATTATCTTGATAATACCTCTATCTATAAAGAAACAATACTTGGATATATATCTGGACTTATTGTAAGAAGATTATTATCAAAGATAACATGTTTTGTGTGTGCAAACTCACTTATATCCCAAAACAATTTTGTGGAACATTCTTATAGAACATCAGCTCTTTCATTGATTAACGTAAAAAATAGGGGAGTGCTTATTGCTCCTAGAAATAATGTTATACAAACTATAATAGTATGCGAGAGTGTTTTCAAAATTTATGTCAGCAGTGACGATTTCAAAAAACTAAAAATAAATGCGGAGCGAAACCTTATGCTGAAAATGATTTATGCGGTTAATAAAACTATTAGTGAAAAACATTTTTTCAAAGACCTTAATGATCATGATGCTGAGCATGAAGCTGTCACTGAAGACATGCATTCCACACAACTAATAAAAATGTTAGCAAATGACTTTTTTACAATCAGACTGCAAAGATATGGCCAATTATACACAGAAAAAGTTTTTAGAAAATCAATGATTGATCAACAATCAAATCAATTTGTTGTTTATATTGAAAAACTCGCTACTCAAAGGAAAGATATTCTTTATATACCTGAATACCTATGGAGCTTTTTTGTATTGAAAACCTTACTAAATATAACATAACTTTGAATTAAATTTATTTTTTTCTTATATACACTTTTTCTTATACCGATTTACGGCAGTTAGACACCCAGTTATTTGTAATATATTATCGAAAACGCAATCTCGTTTTGAGTTTTTCATAGGGGGATGGAATAATTCAGGCGGTGGGAATAATCTACTACACATTTCACATAAAAACGGAAAGTTCAAAGTTCAACTTGCGCCTCTAAGAATATTTTTCCGAAATTATCTATTACTTCATAGCTACATGTTGTAGCTTTGAAGTTTGGTAAAACACTTCTATAAATATATAGTTAGTTGATATCGCTTGCTAAAACGTTGTGGTGTGGTAAAAAAAACAACTTGTTAATCAGAAAGTTTTCTGTTTAACCATGAAAAACTTGTGAGAAAAATGTTCTAAATTTAAAAAATTATTTTACAGTTTTATCAAGTTTCCTAGTTGATTATATTTATCGAAAAAATCACTTTGCTTATATTTATGATAAGATGGATGCAATTTTGTGACGTGAAATACGTCGAGGGAGTGTAAAAACGATGGCTTTATCAAAACTTTGACTACCTCCAAAGGTAGTAATATGTGAAACTTTGCGATATCTTTCAAAACGTCCTCTATTCCTAATAATTGTAACTAAGCATGAGATTTAAACTCAGACGTCTTTTTATAAAATGCTTCAAAAGCTCTGAGCTGCAAGTAACGTCCCAGCCCGTGTTATATTTGGTACCAAAAATTTTCAACATTTTTTCCAAGCCCCCTGCATTTATCTAAGTTTTTTTTTTTTAATTTTAACAAAAAATAATTGTATTTAAGTCTTAAACTTGAAAAAAGTATTAAGGATTTTTGGTACTTGGTAAACTGATAAGGACGTTTAATCTACGCAAATTTTTATTCACTACAGAAGCAGCCATAGCGCAGCCATGGCGCAGTGGTAGCGCACTTGTTTCAGAAACGTAAGATCCGTGGTTCAAACCCCACCTCTGGACAAGTTTTGCGACATCGGTTGGGAAGGAGGCGTGAACTTCCTATTAAATGCTCTTTCGCGGTGCTCTATGATAAGACCGTAAGGACTTCTTGGGGCACCTAAATCAACATTAAAAAAAAAAAAAAAAAATTTACATTTTAATTTAAATCCACCTCGAATACTAAGTTAATCATGTTAATCATGAAAACTATGAATTTTTCTGTTTATTCAACCTTAATTTTTAGCTGTACAACAATGTATAATTTATTACCCCAGTTTTGCGTAATTTAATTTTTTAAATCATGTACCATTCCCCCCCCCCCTTTCCTACCAGCACCATCAGCACCACCTTCAAACTGTTCAAACTTTATATAGCCATAAGTTTTAAACGCTAAAAGATTATTCTCTGAATTCAAAATTTATATATGAATATAAATTAAAAGTTGAGAAAATTAAAAACTAACTATTTTTTTAACTTGTCGCTCTCACGTTTGAGGGAATAAAATTTTACTATAAATGAAAAGTGAAATATAAATAAAAACGTCACAGCTTACCCTACATCAAAACAAGCTGCAACAGTGAGCATGATAAATTATGACATAGGTTGTAACAGGGATTCAAAGTTTATTATTCATCAATTGAAAAATTGATTTTATGAGGTAAGGTTGTTGAGTTTCTTAAATGTAAAAATTAAAAGGTAAGGTTATTTAAATATAAAAATTGGTAATATAGCACTTTATTTAATCTTAAAAAATTGTAAATAAAGTACCTGTTTGAAGTGTAAATAAGTGTAATTGTGTAAATAAGTAAAATGTAAAAGTGTAAATAAAAAAAAGTGTAAATAAAGCACCTAAGGCTATTTTCAAATGACTAGTCGTAATCGCATTTCAATACTAAAATTCCCTAAAGCATAAAAATATTTTAAAAATGATTAATTAAAAAACTAATCAATAAAACATATCGCAGAACAAAATATTTCTTGTCCACCAATCTTATCGTACACGATTCACTCACTGTACGCATGGCAACTGGGGGAAGAAGTACTGTACCCAGCAAACATTTTTTTTGTGGATTTGCTGTCGACCTATATAGGCATTTTTTAGCGGTTCATTGAAGTTTTGCTCATCGGTTACATAGTGGACCAATAGTGGCAGCCGCTATAAATGGCCCTCCGATAACTTTCCGATATGTTAATAGTGGCTATTCATCGAATAACTATATTTGGCTGCTGTCACTAATGGTTCACTAAGTAATCGAAAAAAACTACAGTAGTCCACTGAAATTCCGTTATAAAATGTTTGCTGGGTACGCCGAGAAACATTGTTAGCATGACAACAGGAGGTCAAATTTCTAAACTTTTTGCCTACGTACGTTATAGACGACAGCCGAGAACTAAGAGGTAGAACGTCCATTTTATGTGTTTCCGAAAAAATTGAGGTTTAGATTTTAGTATGAAAAGGCTAGAAAGTTCTTTTATTTTTAAACTTTCTAAATAAATATTTTCTAAAGTTCTATTAATTTTGTTTTTAGATTTAGTCGACACATGCCCTACTGGTTGATGAATATTTATTGATAGAAAACATAAAAAACACATAATGTGGACTTTAACTGAGAACCAAGAGGCTCTATGTCCACACAGCCTCTTGGTTCATAGCTGAGGATAATTCAAAAAAAAATTTTGTTGTAAAGTTGCGTGATTTTTGGAGATCAAATTGTGAGCTGCGTAAATGCCGGGATATGCGATTAAATGTGGAGTCATTTCAGTTAGACTTTAAATTCACTTTTATCACGATATATTTTAATAGTATATTTTAGACGATATATTTTAAACAATGAGTTTATTTTAGTGGAAAAAACAAGCAAACAACAACCATAAATAAAAAAATAATAATAAAAAATTTAAACAAAATAGTAGGTTATGGCAAGGTATTTGTGCATTAAAATTTTTTTATTTGATTCAAGATGTTTTAGACAACATCAGTCACTATAATTTGAGATATATTTATATACAGTTAATACTGTTAATTACTGAAGTATATATAAAGCAGAAATTCATTTTGCTGCATCATGGAAAGTAAGTATTATTTCATACGTTGTTATTTAAAAGAAAATTTAGTTTGAACATACATTTAACTTAAACATATATTTTAAATCATGTTGATATTTAATAATATAATAAGTATTTATTAATACATGAATTTATATAAATATTTATATTAATTATACACCTTTATGTAAGTTACATATAAGTATTAAAATAAATTCATAAATAAATTTATTTAGGGGAGATCAGGGCTAGTCGCAACACAATTTGTAAAACTATATTTATTTCTAATAATTTTAATTTTTTCAAAAGGTTTTTCAGGGTTGTAAAAGAGATATTGGTAACATATTATTCCAACATTGATAAATATAATATAAAACTTAGTTAACCTACAATAGCGAAATATAATTAAAAATGTTGCAACTTTCCCCAAGTCAAAACAAGCAGCAACAATGAACATGATAAGGTGTGGCACAGATTGTAACAGGGATTCAAAATTCATTCCAACTTGAAAAAGTGTTTATAAAGCAACTGTTTAACCTTGAAAGCTAATTTTTAATGACTAAGGAAGGTAATTTACTTAACTAAAATACACATTGCTTATATTTAAATAAAACTTCAGCTAAATATAGCTTCTTTTAAAGAAATGGAAATAAAATTAAAAAATCCATGACCCCCCCCCCCCCCAAAAAAAAATAAATAAATAAATAAATAAATAAAAAATAAATAAATAAAAATAAAAAACAACAACATGATTTTTAGTTCTTTTCAAAAAATTCCTTTTTTTTTTCAACCTAGGTCGAAATGTATTAAAAATATTTCTTGAACTTCTTTTAGTCAAACTGAATGCACAAATCATTCAAGTTCTTTGAATGTTTGTGCTGTAAATCATGTTCAATTGGCTTTACCAAAATCACCAATAAAAACAGATCATGTCAAATAATTCGTTTTTTATGTCAAGAGAATTTAAAATATTTTCATATTGCTGAAAGTTTTTGATAAAGAATCTTAAACAAGTTATGCTTTATTTTTTGTGGCTGTCACTACTGCAACTAATTTTATTTTGGCATAGTGATGCAACTATAGCATTAAAGTTATCATAAATTTTCCATAGTACTTGAACAAGATAAACATAAAAAAAATCATGTTTATTGGGTATGCTTATTTTTAACTTTTCATAGGGGAATGTAACAATATGGATTAACAATAAATTATATGGATTGACCCAGTAGATAAATTTATCTCTATTATTATACAAAAGTTATTAGAATTCGTATAAGCTTTTCATTCATTCATTTTCTTTTCATTTTTATAATAAAAAGTCCATTATTTTTAAATATTTTCAGAAAAGTGTGTAAAATTAATAAAACCTGCAGTTGTATTGTGATTCAACATTAGCTTTTGGTATAATTTTGGTAACATATTTCATAGCTTACTGTAAAACCCAAAAAAACTTTAAAAAAATAAGAATTTTATATATAAAATAAAATTTACAAATATCTTTTAAATTTTTTATTTTATTACTATAAGTTTTTTTATATTCTTTGTTTTATTCTTATAGTTATTTAATGTAATAAATTTAGAAATAATATATAAAACTCATCCTTTAAAGGACATTGTTGCAACTTATCCTGTTACAATTAGCTCCAGTCTTCCCTTATGCATATATATATATATATATATATATATATATATATATATATTATATTATATTATATTATATTATATTATATTATATTAGAATAATAATTAAGTAACAATTAAATTTGTAACATTACTCGGAGTTTCACGCTTTATGAAATCATATATATATATATATATATATATATATATATATACATATATATATATATATATATATATATATATATATATATATATATATATATATATATATATATATATATATATATTATATATATATTATATATATATTTATATATATATTATATATATATATATATATATATATATATATATATATATATATATATATATATATATATATATATATATATATATATATGTATATATATATGTATATATTATATAAATATATTATATATATATATATATATATATAATATATTATATATAATATTATATATATATATTATATATATATATATATATATATATATATATATATATATATATATATATATATATATATATATATATATATATATATATATATATAGAGAGAGAGAGAGAGAGAGAGAGAGAGAGAGAGAGAGAGAGAGAAAGAGAGAGAGACATTGTATTAAATAAAAAGGTATTAGATCGTCATGATTTTGGCATCATAAAATTATTTTATTTTTTAATTTTATTTATGGAAATTAACTTTTTTTAACTACCACAATAAAATGAATTATTACAAGACAAGTTTAATTTACTAAAATTTACTTAAAAACAAATCTAGAAGTTTCATTTTGTAAATTTGCATATTGTGAAATGTCTGTTTAGTTTAAATTTTTTATGTTTTTTCAATATTTAATAAATAAATTTAATATTACATTTATTATTGTCATTTAACGTAAATTAATTTCTTTCTTTTTTTTACATTTGTATAAATGAATTAAAACATGTTAATTTTTTTTTTTCATTTATTATTACTTAAAATTCCAGCTTTGCAAATAATAATAATTTTTTACTTTTAGAAAGTTAAACAAAAATAAAAAGTATTATTTGTTGAAGGAAAAAAAAAAAAAAGTTAATTACTTTAGCAGCACTTTTTTTGCGAAAAAAAATTAAAGTTTCCAAGATTTAAGTTTCCAAGTACCATTTATTAAAAAAAATATACTGTTGCATTTTCACTTGCCTTAAACTTAAGCATAAGTTAAACTTAAGTTTAAGCATACGCTTTATAAGCATTTTTTGATGCAATGTTATAACATGTTTACAATGAATTTATATAACTTTTTTATCAAAGTTTTTCTAAATTATAAGGAAATTTCTGTTTTCACTTTTTTGATATTGCTCAATCTGTTAACTTATAACTCTGCTACTAATTTTTCAATACAATATTGAGGGAGTTTAGATAACCTTGTTATTATATATATTATAAAACATTTGGGCTAAATTTTTTTGATTAAAACTATATAATGAATGCACACCATTAAATTGAAAATTCACGTTTTAGTCGATGCTCGTCGTCTCCATTTTTTTTATGTTCTTGGAATCTGTATAATTTTAGCCCCAATCTGCAGCCTTGATAACTTTCTATGTGTTAATTCATAACAGTTTCGGTATATGACGTCGATAATAATAAAGTTTTTAAAATTCAATAATAATAAAGTTTTTAACACGCATCATTAAACAATAATAAATGCAAAGTGCTTAAAACTATTGTTTTTGTAAGTAGTAATTAAAACATTAAGTCCAAAACAAACCTCATTTAATGAATAAAAATAGTTTTTCTTCAAAATACTTTAGTAATTACTTAACTAAATACTTAATTTTGTAACTAAATTTAAAGTTTTTTTATAAAGGATTATTTAAGATTTTTTAACTTTGTGATAGCTTTTTTATAATTACACAATATAGCTCTTATTTTTTCTTGATTATGTAGAGAAAATTAAACCTTCAGAACAAACAAATTCTATGTGTCTAGAATGGAAATTTATGTGAAAAACAAGATAAATTGTAAAGCATACTCAAAAGTGGCGATTAAATAATAAATAATAGTGTCATGATTTTGGCTGGCTTCTACACAAAGTAATAATAAAAAATTTATATATATATATATATATAAATATATATATATATATATATATATATATATATATATATATATATATATATATATATATATATATATTTATATATATATATATTACAGGCCTTGTGATGAATAAAAACTGTGCGACGCATAAGCACGACATGATTTTTGACGTCATTAAATTCTTTTTATTTGCTTTTCATATTTATCGACATTAACTGCACCAATTTACTTAATTTCTGCAAAACTACTTTAAATCATTAATTTAGAAATGTTATTATTTAAAAATGTCTTGAAATGTTTCATTTTTTAAAATGTAAAAACATTTGTTTATTTTCTCGATGTTTGACACGTTTTGTCTATACTAAACGAATAAAAAACATTATAACTAAACATTTAAAAAAGATTATAAATGCTAATATTTGATTTTTTTTCTTCTCAAATATGTAATTTAAAGTTTTTCAAATAATTATTTTTTCTTTTTAAAAAGTCAGCGAGTAATAACCTGGAAATTTTAATATTGTTCAATTAAAAACTGTGCAATAGCTAATATTTTTACCAGCGATTTTATATAATATTTATTTATTTTTATTTATTTTCATAAAGCGGTTGATAAGCACAATCACTCGTATTACTAAAAAACTTTAACAAACATTTTGTATAGATTTTTAATGTTTACAAGGAATTTTATTTATAGTAAAATAAAATAAAATGTTAGAATAAAAATCTTTGCGCAAATAAAATATTTTTATTTGCGCTTACCAATTTTTAAAATGTTTCCTCAAAATTACTCTTAAATACTTTAAATATATCAAACAGTTAATAAATATTTTTAAATCTGGCATTATTTTAAAACCTAACAAACCCCCGTAAAATAATTATTTAAGTTAAAAATCTAAAACTAAAAGAAAGTATTTTTGTTTAATTTTATCGACAACTTTGCTATTGCTGAATAATTTTATTAAAATGTTAGCTTAAAAAGATTTAAAATTTTTTTTTAATCTGAATTTTTTCTACTTATAAATAATGAGCATATTTAATTTTTTTGTAATTCAAACTTTTATATCAACGGTTTTTAAAATACTTTATTAAATGTTAAAGTAATCGTAAATTACTTCATTAAAATTCCGCTCAAAAATATCTTTAAATATACTCAAACAAAAATTTTTTTGCTCGACGTAAATAGCCCTAGCTACACCCAAATAGCCCTAGCTACACGCAAAATTGCTCTTCGACAACGTAAAATTCACATCGCCTGACGGTTTATCGCAAGGCCTGATATTTGTATAATTTTTTACTGTCACAAATATTTTTTGTGATTTAGTAAAAAATGAGACAAATAATTGATTTTCTGATTGTAGTAGAAAAAAAACTTGTACCTTTAAAAAAACAACAACAAAAAAACGGTATCTTAAAAAGATATTGCGATGACATCATATACTGAAACTGTTTCAAATTAACATGCATTGAATAAATTATCAAGTCTGCAGATTGCGGCTAACATTATACAGACCCCGAGAACCAAAAAAAAAATAGAGACAGCAAGCTTTGACTAAAACAATAATTTTAATTTTATTGGTATGCATTCATTATTTAGTTTCAATCAAAAAAATTCAGCCCAAATGTTTTTTTTAAACATTTTCTTTAATATGAACACAACTTGTCTTGGCAGTTGGGGATCCCTTTAAAGTTTGTAATAATAAATGGTTTTTCATTTTGTTCTTGATAAAATCAATATTATAACAAAACAAACAAACAAAAAATTAAAATATCAAAAGTGGCGCTAATATAAAATAAAATTTTACGTGTTTTATTTTTTAGCTAATATTTTTTTGTTTTGTTTTTTATTTATATTTTCTAAATTCGGTAATTACTTTTGTTGTTGTTTGTTATGAGAAATTGTCTAAATAAATATTCTTGGACTGGCATGATGAAAAAGTAAAGTTTTTTTTATCAAATTTCTTTTATGATTTTAATTTTTTTATGTGTCATAAAACCATAGATCGAATTCCAGAATTCCGAAAATTCACTTAAAACTCCTTTAATTTCCCAGAAATTTTTAAATAAATTAATTTAAAAAAAAATGTTTTTTTATTAATTTGTTTAAAAAAATTATAAGTTTTTACATAAAATTTTAAAAACAACAATTTAAATCTTTTAAACAAATATGTTTTCTATAGTTATAATTTTTATGAGATCAATTTTCATAAAAATTTTTTTTTTTTTTGCTTTTTAATTTATTCAAATTAACTTTTTCGAATATTAGAAATTCCTTATTGTAAAAAGTTAAATAATTTAAATTCCGTTTTAAAAGTTGACGAAAGTTTTTGTTTTCAGTTAATACAATCAATTTTTAATAAAATAATTTTCCGGGATTTTCATAAAAAAAAAATTCCAGGATTTTCATAAAGTCAAATACTCATTATGTAAAACATCTTTTTTTTCTTTTTGCTTAACATTTTTGATGGAAAAGTTAGTTTAATAAAAATATGAGTTTCTTTGTTTTTTCTTAACTTATTATATTTGTATATAGTTTATTATATAATCGTCATTCAAACTTCGTGGTTTTTATAAAGTTAACATCTTTTATCTTATCACTTAAACAATATCTTTAGACTTGTTTAAATATTAAAATTTTATAAAAAGTGGCTAGACTGAAATGGATTACCCCTTACGTTAAATGGCATCCCACTTTATGCTTTAAAACAAGGGTTGTATTTATATATATATATATATATATATATATATATATATATATATATATATATATATATATATATATATATATATATATATATATATATATATATATATATATATATATATATATATATATCAACCCTTGGAATTAGGAAAATTGAGGTCAGCAATAATTTGCAAATACAAAGGTCTTACCATAAAACATTGAAACCAGGTTGGCAAAACCGAATTTTTTTTGTCGACCGCAAACACATTTAGGTTGGCAGTTAGGTCGGCATTGCCGAATGCCAACCCTAATTCCAAGGGTTGATATATATATATATATATATATATATATATATATATATATATATATATATATATATATACATATATATATATATATACATATATATATATATATATATATATATATATATATATATATTATATATATATATATATATATATATATATATATATATATATATATATATATATATATATATATATATATATATATATATATATATATATATATATATATATATATATATAGGCTTTCACAGGAAGGCGTGCCATTTCACGTCTTTATATGACCACGCAAAAATGTTTTAACGCATATTTTTAAAATTTAAAAACGTGTTACAAAAACTTACCTAAACTTATCTGAAAAAAAAATTTAAAAAAATAATATATAATAACGAAGGAGAAAATAAAAAAAATATTTAGTTAAAGCAAAAACACAAAAAAAAATATATATATATATATATATATATATATATATATATATATATATATATATATATATATATATATATATATATAACGCAACTAAAACAAAATTCATCAAACTAAAATGCTTAGTCTATTTAATTTATGCATTAAAAAACCTTTTCAATCTTTGTCTCAACATTTGTATACATTTTTTATTTAATATGTTCAAAAGTTAAATATTTCTCATAAAAAATACATTTTATATATTATATAAATAAAATAAAAAAATATTTTATTAATACTTTTTTTAAAATTAATTAGAAATGTTATTTTTTTACTTCATTAAAAGCGTTTCGATAATATAAAAGCATTTAAGATCAAACTTATTAAATTGTAACGGTTTTCTAAAACGTTTTTTTTAACGAAATTTTGTTTATCTTTTTAAATGCATTAACTTTAATCACTCTTATATTTAAATTAGTTAAAGACACTTTCGTAGTCGTAGAATGTCATCGTTTATAAAAACAAAACAATTTTTTATTTTTTAATAAGATTGATTTTAGAAATGAACACTTAAACAATTTATGTTTTGAATTAAAAAAATATATACAACTGTCAATTATATTTAAAAAACAAAACTTTTTTTCAGTAAATTGTTACTTTATTTAAAATCGTTTCACTAATATAAAAACATTTGCTAAGAAGTTTTGATGTAATTAATTTCACTTTTTTAGAATATTTTTTATTTAGCGCATTTCTAAAATGTTTTTTGAATTAGCTGCGGTCAAACCGTCATAGCAAAATATAACTTGTGTGGTCATATAAAGACGTCTTCCTGTGAAAGCCTGATATATATTATAGAAAATTGTTTAAATTTTGTCACTTGATGTAATAATTTATCTAATTACATGTTTTGAACATTATTGTTAATTTATATACACATAGTATGCATAGCATATATTCATTTATAAACATATAGTTATATTTATTTTTATATGAAATATACAGTTAGTTTTATATTACTTTTTTTAAATAAAGGAAGAAGAGTTAATTTTACAGAAGATGTGAAGCCTTTAAAAACTGATTTACTTTGTTGCCAAGTTAAAAATAATCATGGAGAAGTCAACTTAGGAATTTTATCCCTTAATCACTCATACATGTCTGATATAGATTTACAATTTCAGTCAGAAGGCAGTATTTCTGTGGTGTTGGCAAATAAAAGTACTTTAAAAGTCGTATCATTTAACCCGAAAGGTAACTTACTTTTTTTCAGAGCCATATAAAAAAATATAGTAACTTTAATACTTAAAAATTAATATAATAATAGTAATCCATCTCATTTTTTCAAACTTCTCAAGTGTTTTTTATAAAGTTAATTAGTTTTTTTATCTAACCACTTAAACGATATCTTTAGACTTGTTTAAATATTAAAAATTGATAAAAAGTGGCTCGACTGAAATGGCTTATCGCCTATGTTAAATGGCTATGCGTACGTAAATGGTTCGCCACTTTATACTTTTAGTTACTGTCTTTTATAATTTAGGAAAGTAACTATATGACTTACGGATCCAGACTATACAAAGAGATAAGTTTTAAATCAAGAAATGTAAATGTATTTTAAAATATACCTCAGTAGGTTTTGTATATATATATATATATATATATATATATATATATATATATATATATATATATATATATATATATATATATATATATATATATATATATATATATATATATATATATATATATATATATATATATATATGGGCAATTCCACTGCGGAAAATAAAAAAGTTGTGAAATTTTATTCTCTTTTTTGTCAACTTTGAATATGATGTAGATGAATGAATAAATATTGATGTATGAATGATGATGTATAATGATGAATAAACATTGATGTAGACACATGAAAGTTAATTTAAAATGGAGGGGGGGAGGGGGGTTACTAAAATAAAAATAAAAAAAGGGGGGTCATCCATAAAGCACATCACCCTATATTTGTTATTTCTTAACCCATTCCCTCTTGTCACAAACAATCACATATACCTGAACCCCCCTCCCTCCTTAACTGTGAAAGCAGTTTTTATGTTAAAAATGTTTCAAAATATTTAAATGTAAATACTTTGCAGCATTTTAAAATTTCAACCTAATGAAAATAAATATGCATAAGCGTAAGAAGTGTAGCTAAAAACTTCAACAGACCAAAGATTTTCTTATTTAAATGACTCAAATAAGTATTAATAAAGTTGTAAAACTAAAGTAATTTTTTAAAGTTGCTCTTGGTCTTAGGGAAAAACTGTTTTCGATATGATAACTTTAATAAATGTTATAAAAAATCACTAAGGCCACCAGTTTTTTATAACTTTCTTTGTTAATTATTTTTAATGAATGACTTCAATACTTTTGCAATTCTTTTGTTACATAAATCTAATTCTTTACAATAGATATAAAAAATCCACGATAATAATTGCTCGGTAATGTAAGTGATGTAATGTAAGTTAAATATATAGTACCAAAAAAACCAGTTTATTTTCTTTAGCTGGTCACCTCTGAATAATTTTTATATATTTTTAAAATTGGTATAGAATTCTCAATATCTTGTGAAAGTTTCTAATACAAATCGCTTTACTGATTCGCAAAAATTTGACCTCAAAGTTAAAGCAATTTTTTTACCTTATTTTCCGTGTAATTTAATTTAAGTGGCATTTTCAGTAATAAGTTTGTCCTCTTTTGGCCAGATTCAAAACTTTTCAGCTTATTTTGTT